CACTCGGAGGCAGAGACAAGTAGATCTCTGTGAGATGGAGGCCAGCCTGGTCTACATAGAGAGTTCCAGGCTACCTAGGGCTACAGAGAGACCTTGTCTCAACAACAAAAAAGTGATGTTTCATAGGGTTCTCCAGAATAACTGAGCTATAAGATGCTTGTATATGAAAATGGCATTTAATAGATTGGCCTATATGATCAGGAACTTGATTAGTTGCACAATGGCCACTGTTCATGCTGGAAAGCAAGAGAAGTAAGTAACTGCTCAGTCCAAGGGCGCGTGACTTCAGCTCCAGCACTGAGAACCTGAGGCTGAAGGATCTCACTTGAGTTTGGGGGGCAGCCTGGGCTCCATAGGAAGACTGTTGTCTCAAAAATTAAAAACCAAACAAAAATTTTAAACTTTAAATTTAAAAAATTTAAAAAGTCTCAGAAAAAGAGAGACTGTGATGCAACTGTCCTCCCAGCACTTGGGCTGTAGAAGTAACGGGATCAGAAATTCAAGGTCATCCTTAGCTACATAGCCAGTTTGAGGCCAGCCAGGGACATCGCTCTCAAAAAACCAAACCTCCAAAGACAAGCATTCTCCACTTACTTTATGTTTGTTACAGACTTACAATCAGATTGTTCGGTCTGTTACTCAAAGCTGCACAGCGTGATTCACTTTTTTCTGTGCTGTATTATCCTGAGGATCTGAACACTCCTTGCATGATGGCCAGGGTGTGAGTTTTGCTTTTGCTTCCCAGACACAGGTCTCGGTTTGCAGCCCATGCCAGTCTGGCTTCAAACTCATAATCCTCCTGCCTCAGCTTCTCGAGTGCTGGGATTTACAAAGGTTATAAGTAATTGGTCAGTTTTACCTTACACCTGGGTTTTCCATCTCTGGGCTGACTGTGTGCCTAAGTTCTGCATGGGTCCCTAGGGAATGCTTGGATGCAGGAGATACAAAATGGCTCTTTTATCTCATAAATGCGCTTAAAATAAATATTACTTTTTAATTTTATCCTTTCCTACAGTTTGATTTCTTTCAACCTCTTAAATTTGACTTGATGGGTTTAAAAAGAAGGTGGGTATGGATTAGGTGGATCATGACTCCAGAGGACCTTGGGGATTTGAGCACAGTGAATGGTTGGAGAGAGCTCAGGTATAAAGGCGGCAGGCTGGGAGTCAGAGTGCAGGGAGAGCAGTTCCCAGAGGAGGAAGTTTCTCCTTTAGGGCTGGAGAATTGCTGCTGACCTGCGTAAGTGTTCTGCTGGAAGGTAAGACACTGGCTTCTCTGTGTTGATAGTTTTGGACTTTAAGGCTTTAGAGAAAATCACTAGCACCAGGTTGTTCATAAGTTTAAATATTTTTAAAATGGCTACATTTCTAGTTACTGCTCTGTTTGATTACAATGTAGTTTTTTGGACTTTCTCCCCCTCTTCCCCCAAGGGCTCACTATGTAGCCCTGGATGACCTAGAACTCCCTATATAGACCAGGCCAGACTGACCTTGAATCCCCGCTTGCCTCTGCTCCTGGGTGCTGGTATTAAAGGCACAACCGTAACCAGCAATGTTTCTTTTAGAACTTTATACACAAGTACTGTTTCCATAGTTTTCTACCTTCCTCTCCCCGACCAAATCCTCTTTGGGGTCCTCTCATTCCCTCTCAAATTCATGACCTCTTCTTTTCTTCTTTTCTTTTTTTCTTTTTCTTTTCTTTTTTTTAGAAAGTGCCCCCTGTAGCCCCAGCTGGCCTGGAACTCATTGTGTACACCAGGCTGACCTCAGCCTCTCAGAGATCTACCTGCCTCTGCCTCCCAAATTCTGGGATTAAAGGTGTGAGTCATCCCATCAAGCTCTTACCATCTCTTCTTTAAATATCATTGTTATAATATATGTTACTATACATATTAATATATAAAACCTCCTGAGCTCATGTAATGTAGCTCATCTGTACATGTGTTTAAGCTGAGCTCTTGGGATTGGATGACCTATCTGGAGAAAACAGATTCTCTCTCTCAGCATCCCATAGTTCATCTGGATGTGGGAGCTCGTGGCTCTCCTATTCACATTGGCATGTTGACTTGGTGCTGTCTTTATCAGGTGTTGTTTAGCTAGAGTGTTGTTTGGTTCACGGGTGCAACTTCCTTCCCACGTCTAGACACATTGTCTAGCAGCCGGCCTCCTGTTCCTTTTTTTTTAGTCCAGAAAATTTTAACAGGTTTATTTATAATTGTTATAAAGTTGAACTGTTGAAACTTGTTCACTGAAACATTTTGACTTGCATTAATGCTTTACATCCTGCATTCATATTAAAAATTCACACACAAATGAAAATGAAAATACCTGATTTCTGTCCCCTGTTTTCCACTGGCAATCATATACTTAGGTACCTTTTGACCCCATGGGAAAAAAATATCTAACATTCAGAACTACTGGTAACAGGAAGAGGAAAAAAATATTTAGAATGAAATGCTTTCCCCATAGTGGATTCTTAAGCACATTCTCCACATATGCGGAGTGCTAGCTGGATATCTTTTGGAGCAGTTGTTGGACGTTTGGCATGGATAGCACACAGGTTGGCATCTTCTAAAAGGCCAACCAGAGCGGCCTCATTGCCTCCTGCAAAGCCCCAATAGCTGCTCTCTGGAAGCGCAGATCTGTTTTGAAGTCCTGAGCAATTTCTTACACCAGATGCTGGAAGGGGAGTTTGCAAACCAGTTCAGGGGCCTTCTGATGGCGTCTGATTTCCAGGAGGGCCACCGTGCCAGGCCTGTAATGACGAAGCTTCTTTGCCATCCATTAGAGGGCGCACTCTTGCCAGCCGCTTTTGTAGCCAGTTGGTTCCCGGGTGCTTTGCCACCGGTGGATTTGCGGGCAGTCTGCTTTCTCTGCCGTGGTACAGTCACCTCCTTATTTACCCCGCCTTCTTCGACTGGAGACTTAGTGTGATAGTTACACCGTAGGTGTGTCAATTGAGGCTTCCCACTGCATGGACACTTATTCTCTGCATTTTGACATGTTGTGATCTCTGTAATCATCTCCATCCACTGCAGAAAGAAACTTCTTTGATAAGACGTGAGAGTTACACTTATCTGTTATGTAAGTATTTAGAATAGAGTTAGAGATCATATTGGTTTAGAAAAATATCAGTAAAGGTCAGGCGTGGTTGCACACACCTTTAATCCCAGCACTCTGGGAGGCAGAGGCAGGTGGATCTCTGAGTTCCAGGCTAGCCTGGTCTACATAGTGAATTCCAGGCCAGCTGGGGCTACAGGGAGACCCTGTCTCAAAAATACAAAAAAAAAAAAAAATCAGTAGCAGGTTCTCTAGGGTCTATGACCTCTCTAGTCATGGATATTTGGCTAGGTTTACAGTATCAGGCATGAATTTCCTCCTGTTGAGTGAGTCTTAAATTTTATTTGACAGCTGTTAGTCCCATGAAAAAGTGCCACTATTGCGCTATTGGGGGTATTGCTGTGGTTCATAGGCATTACATCTGGGCAGGACTCCTGACTGCTGTCCTCCTGTGGCCTTGTGTAACATCTTCTGATACTGTAGGAGCTGACCCACAGCGGGGAGGCTTCCAGGTCAGTTCCAGCTCTGTCTTTCCAACTCCTATGTCCAAAGTGTGTGGTGCCTTCACATTCTTTGAGGCAGGGTCTTCCTGTAGCCCTAGCTGGCCTGGGGCTAGTTCAGGCTAGCTTTACTTTCCCAGAGATCTGCCTGCCACTGCCTCCAGAGTGCTGGGATTAAAGGTGTGTTCTACCACGCCCAGCTTATGTCTGTGTTTTTAAGTAAGCTTCTCTCCCTCTTTCTCAGTATTACCCTCTTCACCTCCATAGTTAAAGCCCCCTCCCATTTTTTAAATTTCCCCCTTGATAATACCTGTGTCCTGCTGTTCCCCTCTCTAGAGCTGCTTCTCCCCCCCCCCCAGCCCCATGGTCTTTGGTGCTTTCCTGGCTTCTATGGTCATTTCAGGTTATACATAAAATCTAAAGATTCAGAGCTAGGATCCACAAGCAAGAGAGTACATTTGTTGTTGTCTTTCTGGGTCTGGGTTACCTCACTCAGAATAATAATTTTTCATCTCCATCCATTTACTTGAACATTTTATTTTCATTTTTCTTTAATGTTGAATAGAATTCCATTGTGTATATGAACCACATTTTCATTAGCCACTCCTCATTTGAAGGACATTTAGGTTGCTTCCATCTCCTACTATTCTGAAGTAGAGTGGCAAGGTCACGGATGAGAGGTGTCTCTTTAGCGGGTATAGAGTCCTTTGGGTCCATGCCCAGGCGTGGTGTGGCTGGATCATGTGGTAGCTCTACATGCCTATGATTTTTCTCTTGTAATTCAATCTTTTTAAACAATTGTGTTTTGTGCCTTGTTTCCTTACTGAATGCAATATTTTCCTTTGTAATTTATTCTGCTTACACCTCTCCTTTCCTTTGCTGACTCATTCGGGATCATATTCCAATGTGCTTTTTTTTTTTTTTTCAGTTTGATGAAGTTTTTTTTCTGTCTTGTGATAGGAACTTACATCTTGATTTTAGCAGGTGATACCAGTTCTGTTTCCTTTAGTGATGCTAGAACGTTTCAACTTCAGTTTAGTTTTTTAAAAGACTGTGTACTGTGGTTTAGGCTTACTGTTTTCGGCAACTTTGAGGAGACCTTCTACTGAGTGATCATCAGCTACTCTGCATGGAAGCTTGAGATTCAAAGAGAGCTCAAACCCAATACAACATCTCTGAGCCTCAGGCTGACCCAGCGCCAGGGTGGACCCACTGACTCCATAGGAAGACTCCAGTATACAGGCGGGCAAAACACTGCTGACCTAGGTGAAGTACCCTTTGTAAGACAGCAAGACTGGGACAGTGCCACTTTGTTTAAAATTCAAGTCTGACTCACAAATAAGTCAAAGCATTTCCTTAAAGACAGGAAATTAACCACTAGGCACTCCTTCAGGAACTGGAGCCTCCCACCCAAACCTAAAAAGGCAGAGTAGCTGCAGCCATGACCTCTGGACACCGTGCAAACCAGAAACCAGGCTGTGCCATCATGACATTCCGACCAACCATGGAGGAGTTTTCAAATTTCAACAAGTACATTGCTTACATGGAGTCCCAGGGAGCTCACCGAGCAGGACTGGCCAAGGTCATTCCACCCAGGGGATGGAGAGCCCGGCAGTCCTATGACGACATCGGCCACATCGTAATCGCCTCCCCCCTGCAGCAGGTGGTCTCTGGCAGGGCAGGTGTGTTCACTCAACACAGTAAGAAAAAGAGACCCATGACCGTGGGGCAGTACCGCCACCTGGCCAACAGCAAAAAGCACCGCACCCCTGCACACCTGGACTTTGAAGATCTGGAGAGAAAGTACTGGAAAAACCGCCTCTATGTGCCACCCATATACGGAGCCGACGTCAGCGGGTCCCTGTTTGACGAGAACACCCAGCACTGGAACGTGGGGCACCTGGGAAGCGCTTTGGACCTGTTGAGGCAGGAGAGCCAGGTGGTGATCGAGGGCGTGAACACGCCCTACCTGTACTTCGGCATGTGGAAGGCCACGTTCGCGTGGCACACGGAGGACATGGACCTGTACAGCATCAACTACCTGCACTTCGGGGAGCCCAAGACGTGGTACGCGGTGCCCCCCGAGCACGGATGGCGCCTGGAGCGCCTGGCCAGGGACCTGTTCCCGGGCAGCTCCCGGGGCTGCCAGGCCTTCCTGAGGCACAAGGCGGCCCTCATCTCGCCCAGCGTGCTCAGGGAGAATGGCATCCCGTTCGGCCGCATGACGCAGGAGGCTGGCGAGTTCATGGTCACCTTTCCCTCGGGCTACCACGCCGGCTTCAATCACGGCTTCAACTGCGCAGAGGCCATCAACTTCGCCACCCCGCGCTGGGTCGACTATGGCAAAGTGGCGTCTCAGTGCAGCTGTGGGGAGGCCAGGGTCAGCTTCTCCATGGATGCCTTCGTGCGCATCCTGCAGCCCGAGCGCTATGAGCCGTGGAAGCGCGGCCAGGACCGCGGAGCGGCGGACCGCGAGGAGGAGGCGCAGCCCGCCACACCGAGCTCAGCTTAGGCATAGAAGCCCCAGCCCAAGGCAGTCCTGCTTCGGCCTGAGTTCTCTGTCTGTTGCACTGGATCTGCCATCCTCTGGGCCAGGGGCAAAGGGAACCCCTGGGCACCAGTCTCCTTGGGGCCCCTCTGAAGCCCAGATTGTTTCCTAACTCCTTGTTACTGGTGCTAGGAGTTCTCCAGATCCTTCTGTAGCCCCATCAGTCACCCCCAGTGTTTTGGTCCCAGTTCTCTGCTTACTGATGAGAAATCTGAAGCTCAGGAGGAAACCCTCCAATCCCCAGGCAAGAGCATCTGAGATCCCAGGGTGTATTGCCCCAGTGCAAGGCATAGCCGGTACCTAACCCCACTGCGGGTTTCTTGAGCAAGCCTGTGCCTCAGAGTCCTGAGATGCTTTGTGGGGATTTCAAACAGCTGGGACACCCACCTGGATGCTGGGGTGTAGATGCCTGATTGCTGGTGATGGCTATTTTTGCACTCCCTGCCCCGCCCCCCACCCCATGTTCTGCTAGCAACTCACAGTGTTCCTGTGTCTCTGGCCAGATTCTCCAGGGACCCTGAGGGGAATCCTGTGACTCTTGGGGACATGGGCAGAATTAGCAGTGGAACATACATGCCTGCTGGATATTGGTCCACTCACCTGAGTTTCCCACTTCTTGCTACTCTGTGAGATATCTGGGGTTAAGAGTAGATGGAGCAATACCTCTGATTCTGATATGCCACCAGTAAATGATAAGCCACTGTCTGTTGAATATGTTGTCAGATTTGGATCTATCCCCAAACCACAGATATCCAAGGTAGCTACAGTTTTGACCTGGCCCCATCCTCTTGGAGACCGTTTGTACTCCAAGAATTGACAACATTTCTGAGGATCTCTGATGATTCTCCTGTAATATGAGACACAGAAGAATGACACATAGTGATGGTCACATTAGGAGTCCTGCATTAGCTAGCAAAATGGCTAGTGGTCAGAGAGGGGGCTAACTCCCCAAAGAACCCTCAACCCCAAGGCAGGAGAGGCAGAGTGGCATTTATAAAGTTTGAAACCACCATTACATCATGCCAAGGCAAAGCCTATATCCAGAGTTGTTACACCAGGCAAAGGGCAGGTCAGTTAGGGAAACAAAAGTTTCAGTTAGGGAAAACAAGTTTCTCAGAATTGCAGAAACAATGGGCTCCATGGAGAAGCAGGGAGGGAGAATGTGCTGCCTGGCTAGCTGGATGTTTCCCAGTATTATAGAAGCAATGTTCCCCCTCGAAACTATAGGCACAGCCTTCATGGCTGGCTGGGTCTCCTTGGCTGACTGCAGTTAGAGCCTTTGGGGGCCAAGACAGGAGCTAGGCAAAAAATGCGGGGTGAATCAAAGGTCAGCTTGAACAAGGTGGAGTTAGTTCTGTCATTTCACTCTACTACATCTAGTCTCCCTGTGACCACTGATACAGACCTTCCCACCTGACTGAATGCTACAGGAGGAGGTACCATTTCTCAGAACTCTCATCTTGTGGCCCCAGCTATGGTCTAGATGCCAGGGACACCTTTTGGTTCCAGGTCTCCCAGGACACCTCTCCTGAGGTGCTGTGGGTAGCTCCCACTGTCACTTGGGCCAACAGTGGATGATGCTGAATTCATTCCCACACTGCAACTGGGCCCTTACCCTGGCCTCACAGAGACAGTGCTCCTGTGAGCGCAGGAGCTTTTCACAGTGCTGTAACAGTACCTGGCCTAGACCCTAGACCTCACTGTTCATGTGGAAACTAGAACTTTGATCAACTGAGTCTCACAGCCAGTTTGAGTAAAACCCCAGGATGATTTTATACATTTATACATTTTATACATTTATTGATTTTTAATAAATTTGTTGCAGAGGACCCGGGTTCAATTCCTAGCACCCACATGGTAGCTACGAACTGTCCTTAACTCCAGTTCTAGGGGACTCTGAAGCCCTCTTCTGACTTCCCCAGCACTGTACAACACAGGTGCACTCACATACTTACTTGCAGGTAATATACGCATACACACAAAAATAAAAAAAAAAATATTTTTTAAAAAGTAAAAGTCATTCTATTTTTTAAAAAATTAATTTGCTCTTTCTGTTGTTTATCTGAAAAACAAAAAAGAATTAGATTGGGGTGAAATAGAGCCTAACATGGTGGTCCACACCAAAGTGTCTCATAGAGACTAAAAACCACTGAAAAGAGGGGGTCAAAACTCTGTTGTGGGACCCAAAAGTCAAAAGACTGATGTTAGAATTTAGCCCAGAGGGCCATGGCTGTTACTGTTAAACTAAACTAATTTTCACCATGAAAATATAGCAGTCATGAATATCTTTGTGAATCTGATCAATATAAATCCTAGAAGATCAAAGACAAGCTGAAACACATTAAAATAGGGGAATTTATGTCAGCTTATCTCATCCAAGAAAGGAAAAAAAAAGTAGATCTGTGTACTTATACAGAAAGACTGCACTGCAACAAGGTAGAATACAGACATTGGCACACGCCTTTAATCCCAGCACTTGGGAGGCAGGAGCAGGCGGATCTCTGTGAGTTCAAGGCCAGCCTGGTCTATATATCCAGTTCCAGGCCAGCTGGGGCTACAGGGAGACCCTGTCTCAAAAAGAGAAAACAAAACAAAACAACAAAACCATACACCCAGTGGCAGAGCCTATCACCTTTTCCTAGTACCATTGATCAACCATAATATTGGCAATGACAGAATGAAAGAAAACAATGTTTTAACAACACCCATTTTATTATGTTTATTTGTTTAGTGTATGTATGTGGTCGGGGGCGGTGGGCATGAGCATACCACTGTGCTTGTACGGTCATGGTCAAAGGAGAACTTGTAGGAGTCAGTTCTCTCCTTCCATCATGTGGATGCGGAAGTTGAACTCAGTCAGGTTCTTTGGTTTGGTGGGAAGCGCCCTAACCTTCTGAGCCATCTCACTGGGTCTAAATCAAATATTCCTAAGCAATACTCAATAGGAGTAGAGATTTTAAAAGCCAGGAAATATGGAGGCTCTTCTTGAAAAGTTAAAATTTTTCTATAAAACATTCTTTAGAGAGAGAAATACTGTCAAAGTAGCCAAATTCTCAGAAAATAGAACAAACATTAGGATTAACTCTGCGCTGGGTGTGGTAGTTCACCTCCTAATCCCAGCACTTGGAAGCTGGAGGCAGGATCAGAATACCAAGGACAGCCTCAGCTTCCTAGAGAATTGGAGGCCTTCCTGGGTTACGTGAGACCCTGCCTCAAAAAGCAAGCGGGCTGGGAATGCAGCCTGGCTGGTGGAGTATTTACCTAGTGTGCAGGAAGCCCTGGCTCCCCTCCTAACACTGCCTACATTGGGTGTGCTTGGAGGGTCAGGAGTTCAAGGTCATCTGAGGATATGGAAGTGAATATAAAATAAATAAGCAAATGAATACAGAGTCATCTTTCGTTGCTTTGTTTTTGACACAAGGTCTCCCTGTAGCCCCAGCTTGCCTGGAACTCCCTGTGTAGAAGAGGCTGTTGATCTCACAGACATCCGCCTGCCTCTGCCTCCTGAGTGCTGGGATTAAAGGTGTGTGCCACTATGCCCAGCTTAAAGCTTTTCTTTTCTTTCTTAAAAAATTTCATTTATTATTTTTATTTGATGTGTATGAGTGTATTGCCTGCATGTATGTAAGTGCACCCATGTTGTGCAGTGCCCTCAGAGGTCAGAACTGGAGTTACAGACAGCCGCTGTATGGGTGCCGGGAATTGAATCTGGGTCCTCTGCAAGAATAGCTAGCGCTCTTAACTGTTGAGCTTTCTTTCTAGTTCCTATTTTTTTGAGACAGTGGCTTGGCTGCTCTCCTCCTCCCATCTCCCAAATGAATGCTGGGATTACAGGCTTGTGTAAAGTCACCACACTTTGTTCCTTTTTTTTTTTTTTTTTAAATTCAAAAATGAAAAAATTAAGATCCTTTTACAATTGTAATGAAGTTTAAAAATTTAGCCTTAATTTTTTCCGCCTTTTTGATTGCTTGAGACAGGGTTTCATTTAGCCCTGGTTGGCCTGGAATTCGGTATGAAACTGAGGATGACCTTGAACTCCTGATCCTCCTGCCTGCATCTCTCAAAAGCTGAGATTCTAGGAGTGCACCACCACACTTGACGTTATTTTGGTCATTTCTGATTTAGATTCTTTTCGGTTAGATTTTCATGAGACAAGAGGTGGTTATCAGTTCATTTCAGAACATTAGTGTGTAGTTAAATATTTTCATGTGTATATTTCAAAGAAATACTTTTCACTTCAAATTATTTCCTTAAATGATGATGTAAACTTTATTAGCAGGGGAAAAAAACCCAGCAATTTAGGGTCTCTGACTGAAATTGTGATAATGTGTTTTTTTTTTATTTGTTGGGGATTTTTGTTGTTGGTTGGTTGGTTTTTTGTTTGTTTTTGGCTTTTTCATTGATTGCTTTTTTTGACAGGGTCTCCCTAGTTACAGCCCACCTGGAAGTCACGGTGTGAACCAGGATGGCCTCAATCTTGCAAAGATCCACCTGCCTCTGCCTCCTGAAGGCTGAGATTAAAGGCACACGCCACCCCTCCTGGTGTGTTTTTGTTTTTTGTGAGTCGGGGTCTCACTGTGTATCCCTGGCTGGCCTGGACCTCTTTGTAGACCAGACTACATTGAACTCACAGAAATCTGCTTGATTCTGCCTCCCAGGTGCTGGAGTTAAAGTTATGCACCGCTACATCTGACCTAAGAATAGGTTTATATTGGGGATGACTGAATAAAATTCCTTTTTCTGAACTGGACCTCACGTAGCCCATACTGTCCTGGAACTCACTATGTAGCAGAAGCAGACCTTGATTTCCTGAATGCCTTCACCTCCCAAGTGCTGGAGTCACAGGGATGTGCAACCATGCCAGGCTATCTCTCCACTAAATATTTCTTTAAAAAATTTTTTTTTATTTATTATTTTTATTTTATGTGTATGTGTGTGTTGCCTGCATGTAGGCAAGTGCACCC